AGGTCTCAGACTAACAGCAATTCATTTAAAAAAATTATACTTTTAAAATTGTAGAAGTTCTCAAAAATATTTGTCAAATGAAAATACCTAAATATTAAGAAAAGTTCTAATTTTTGGGGTAACATTTTAAACTTCTGTTGGTTTCCTAATTATTAACTTAAAAGACAGCAGGAAATGAGATGTAAATCACCAACACTCAATGTTTAGCACTCATTAATTTTTAATGCCCATTTTGTGATACACAATTCTTTTTTTTTTTTTTTTTTTTTTTTTTTCATTTTTCTTTTATTATTCATATGTGCATACAAGGCTTGGTCATTTCTCCCCCTGCCCCACCCCCTCCCTTACCACCCACTCCACCCCTCCCTCCCCCCCCAATACCCAGCAGAAACTATTTTGCCCTTATCTCTAATTTTGTTGTAGAGAGAGTATAAGCAATAATAGGAAGGAACAAGGGGTTTTGCTGGTTGAGATAAGGATAGCTATACAGGGCATTGACTCACATTGATTTCCTGTGCATGGGTGTTACCTTCTAGGTTAATTCTTTTTAATCTAACCTTTTCTCTAGTTCCTGGTCCCCTTTTCCTATTGGCCTCAGTTGCTTTAAGGTATCTGCTTTAGTTTCTCTGCGTTAAGGGCAACAAATGCTAGCTAGTTTTTTAGGTGTCTTACCTATCCTCACCCCTCCCTTGTGTGCTCTCGCTTTTATCATGTGCTCATAGTCCAATCCCCTTGTTGTGTTTGCCCTTGATCTAATGTCCACATATGAGGGAGAACATACGATTTTTGGTCTTTTGAGCCAGGCTAACCTCACTCAGAATGATGTTCTCCAATTCCATCCATTTACCAGCGAATGATAACATTTCGTTCTTCTTCATGGCTGCATAAAATTCCATTGTGTATAGATACCACATTTTCTTAATCCATTCGTCAGTGCTGGGGCATCTTGGCTGTTTCCATAACTTGGCTATTGTGAATAGTGCCGCAATAAACATGGATGTGCAGGTGCCTCTGGAGTAACAGTCTTTTGGGTATATCCCCAAGAGTGGTATTGCTGGATCAAATGGTAGATCGATGTCCAGCTTTTTAAGTAGCCTCCAAATTTTTTTCCAGAGTGGTTGTACTAGTCTACATTCCCACCAACAGTGTAAGAGGGTTCCTTTTTCCCCGCATCCTCGCCAACACCTGTTGTTGGTGGTGTTGCTGATGATGGCTATTCTAACAGGGGTGAGGTGGAATCTTAGTGTGGTTTTAATTTGCATTTCCTTTATTGCTAGAGATGGTGAGCATTTTTTCATGTGTTTTCTGGCCATTTGAATTTCTTCTTTTGAGAAAGTTCTGTTTAGTTCACTTGCCCATTTCTTTATTGGTTCATTAGTTTTGGGAGAATTTAGTTTTTTAAGTTCCCTGTATATTCTGGTTATCAGTCCTTTGTCTGATGTATAGTTGGCAAATATTTTCTCCTACTCTGTGGGTGTTCTCTTCAGTTTAGAGACCATTTCTTTTGATGAACAGAAGCTTTTTAGTTTTATGAGGTCCCATTTATCTATGCTATCTCTTAGTTGCTGTGCTGCTGGGGTTTCATTGAGAAAGTTCTTACCTATACCTACTAACTCCAGAGTATTTCCTACTCTTTCTTGTATCAACTTAAGAGTTTGGGGTCTGATATTAAGATCCTTGATCCATTTTGAGTTAATCTTGGTATAGGGTGATATACATGGATCTAGTTTCAGTTTTTTGCAGACTGCTAACCAGTTTTCCCAGCAGTTTTTGTTGAAGAGGCTGCTATTTCTCCATCGTATATTTTTAGCTCCTTTGTCAAAGATAAGTTGCTTATAGTTGTGTGGCTTCATATCTGGATCCTCTATTCTGTTCCACTGGTCTTCATGTCTGTTTTTGTGCCAGTACCATGCTGTTTTTATTATTATTGCTTTGTAATATAGTTTGAAGTCAGGTATTGTGATACCTCCTGCATTGTTCTTTTGACTGAGTATTGCCTTGGCTATTCGTGGCCTCTTGTGTTTCCATATAAATTTAACAGTAGATTTTTCAATCTCTTTGATGAATGTCATTGGAATTTTGATGGGAATTGCATTAAACATGTAGATTACTTTTGGGAGTATCGACATTTTTACTATGTTGATTCTACCAATCCATGAGCATGGGAGATCTCTCCACTTTCTATAGTCTTCCTCAATCTCTTTCTTCAGAAGTGTATAGTTTTCCTTGTAGAGGTCTTTCACATCTTTTGTTAGGTTTACACCTAGGTATTTGATTTTTTTTGAGGCTATTGTGTGATACACAATTCTAAAGTTTATACTTGTTTATAATGAAAACAGCAAGAACTAGTAACCCTGAAATCCAAAGCAAAACATAAGTCATTAATGAGTCTGTTGGTCTGGTTTAAATTTTGAATGGGTTTAGATTTTTCTTAGGTATATAAAGCTATATCTACCCAATTCTACCCAAGGACCATCTTTTGCTCACTTTAGTGTCAGAGCCCACTATCCTGAGTCCTGAAGTCAAATCACCTGTAGATATCATGATTTGTTCACTACTACTGGGTCAGATAGCAGATGTTCCTGTAGTCTGAGATCTGTTTATCTTTTATGGTGCTAGGGATTGAACCCAGACCCTTAAGCATGCTGGGTGAGTGCTCTACCACTGAGATACATCTCCAGCACTAAGTTTTAATATAATGTCAAATATTCAGTAATGGTCTAAGCTAGCCAGAGTGGTGGTGCACACCTATAATCCCAGAATTTGGAAAGTAGAGACAGGAGGATGATAAGTTTGAGGCAAGCCTAGGCTTACTAGAGCCAAGACCTTGTCTCAAAGACAAGAACACGCTACCACTTACTGAACACCCACCTAGTGTAACTTCATAGGAGTTTTACAACCATCATTCTAGTCCTCAAATAACACTGCAATAGCATCATCATCAGTTCCATGCTGCAGGTCCTGGAAATAGCTGGAGCAGCAGTGCTCTATACATGTGACCTCCCTGTAGAGTCAGGACATGTTGCTGTTTCCATTTTATAGATGAGGAAACTGATGCCTAGAGATGTGCAATCATTTGTCCATGACCATACTGAGCACAGATTAGAAACCAGGACTCTAGTACAGGAGCCACTGAGCTTTTTCCTATGTTACACTGCAGGGGTTCAGATCCATTCTTGACACCAAAGGAGCTCAGAATCTGTTTAGAGGACATGCTTTGTATTTGTTCAGGACTGTACTGATGACATCTTAGCAATTTCTTACTGCAATTTAGCAGTTAACACATAGCAAATAAAGCAGAACTGATAGGGTAAGTGAATCTAAACTAAACATGGTTCAAAACAATGAGAGACCTAAAAGGCTTAAAAGCTCAAATGGATCCTGACCTGCAGCTGAAGGCAATGAAATTTAAAAAAACAATTAATTTAAAGAGGTTTCTCTCTCACAGGCAATGGAGAGGTGACATGACAAAGCAGTTAGGAAAATCAGGAGCTTCAGAGTCATCCAAGCTTTGAGCACCAGCTCTTTCTCTTATAGGCTGGGCCTTTGGACAACTTACCAAACCTCTTTAAAGTCTCAGTTTCTTCATCTGCAAAATGTGGGAAATGACAGCACCTAATCAAAGGTTTGTGGTGAGTATCAAATGAGACCACGCTTAGCAGGCAGTTTTTAAAAAATTTAAGACAAGGTCTTGCTAAGTAGCCCAAGCTGGTGCCTGTCCTTGAACTCACAATTCTCCTGTCCTACCTCAAGAATGCTAGGATTACAGGTGTGCCCCACCATGCTGAGCTCAAAAAATGAAATGAATGAAGACATTTCACTGATGAGTCAATGTTATTGACTCTTGCATCCTGAAAATTCCAAATTCCTGCTTCAAAGTTCCACACTTGAACATCACCCAGATGTTCCCTGGGAATCTCAAAGTCACCATGTTCAAAAGTACGCTTACCATTCATCTTCAGGATACCATTTTCTCCTAGTCAGTTACCCAATTTAAAACCAGGAGGCATCTTTGAGCTCGTCCTCCCTTCAGCCCCACAACTAGTCAACAAGTCCTATTAATTCTCCTCTCCAGTCCTCCTGCCTGGCTTTTCAGGTCTCTCAATAGCTCCTGCCTTTACTTTGCTCAATTCCTGGTTCTTCTTATTCCTTTGTGTTTCTCAGGACATGGCAGGCAGTAGTCATCACAGACACTGATTGAAAACTACCTGAAGGACGGAGCTGCCATGGTCTTCCCCTGCCATTTTGCTGCATTCTGAGCGTCTGAGCTCTCCACAAAACTAGGTGCTCCTGAACGCCTGTCTATTCCCATGGGAGTCTTTCATGTTTTGTAAGTGACACCTGTCATGTGTACAAGTTCTCTACCACCAGGATTTATTTGTGGCTTCACACTAACTTGACTACACTTAAAATTCTATGACTCATCATAAAATACCATAGAATTTGTCAAGTTCTTGAGGAAGGGTAATTTAAAAATAATACTGTTCCTAGAAAATTAGATTTTGTTATTCTAAGTTGCTTTTAAAACTTTTATGATGAAATGCTGAATACCATTCCTTTTCTAATGAATAATAAACAATTTAATGCCCAACATGATAAAATTTGGTTACTGACATACTATTCCATTTATCTTCCTGAGTTCCCTTCACAGCTATAGCTTTCATGACAATAGATCGTTCTTCTAAAATAAGTAAATGATGTGTACATATATTTACATATTATGTATTGTATTGAAATATAAGCGCACACACACCTACAGAACAAGAAATCCAGTAACAAAGACATCTTTACCAGCCAGGAGTTGGTGGTTCATGCCTGTAATCCTAGTTACTCAGGAGGCAAAGATCAGGAGGACCACAGTTCGAAGCTAGCCTGGCAAACAGTTCTTGAGACCCTATCCCGAAAAAACCCTTCACAAAAAAGGGCTTGTGGTGTGGCTCAAGATGTAGGCCCTGAGTTCAAGTCCCAGTACCACAAAAAACAACAACAAAAACCCTTCTTTACCTCCTTCTAGAAAGTGAAGAAACAGGTGCATTTGTAATGTCAGGTTCCCATTCATCTTCAGGATCACAAAATACATCTTCACTCTTGTTACCACCATTACTCTAAGAAAATAAATATACAGTTTCCATTTATGAGTGAAAAATATGTTTAGCAACTAAGGGAAAAAAGCTTAAATATTTTGTTATTGTTTTTTTTTTTTGGTGGTGGTGGTGGTTCTGGGCTTTGAATTCAGGATTTTGCACTTGGTAGGCAGGCGCTTACCACTTGATCTACTCCTCCAGTCTAATATTTTGTTACATTTAAAACATAAAATTAGAAACATTATAGATTCTGTGATAAAAGTCTTTAAAAAATATCATAATTCTGATAAAATTAGAAAACAATATATGATACTCAGGATTATATTTTAAAAGATCTAATAAAGGCAACAGAGATCATTAAATACTTCAAAAATAATAAGCTTGGTTAAAAATAATAAACTTGGAATTTAGAAGAGGCAGTAAAATCAAAACAAAACAAAATTCTCAGGAAAGAAATAAAAGAATAATCTGAAAATGTTAAGATGCGATCGTAGGGTGGGGATGTGGCTCAGTGGTAAGCACTTGCCTGGTGTGTATAAGGCCCTGGGCTTGCTTCCTGGCACATCAATAACAACAGGAAAAAAAAAAAAAAAAGAAAAGAGAAGAGAAGAAAGGATGCAATCACTTTTTGGTTGACTATATTCACCATAATAAGCTATATTTTAATTTAAATATTTAAAGCAATACCAAGTAAAATTATACCAAAATATTATCTACCTTGATTTAGAGAGCATAAATATCTGGAAAAATAAGTAAGGAACTGCAGTGACTGTGTGAAGGTAGGAAGTAGTAAGTTAACAGTGAGAGTAACTAATGAGTACATTAAGGCAAGAATGATCATAGTGAGTGTAAGGTTCTGAGTTCAAACCCCAGTGCCACCAAAAAAAGAAAAACAAAGATCAAATACAAGAAATTAACATTCATTGTAGAAAATTTGGAAATTATTAATATATGTATAAATTATGGGTTTGTGAATAGTGTCAACGTTTTTGTGTTTATGAGACACTTCAGCTTTTGGGATTTTCTGTTACAAATATACCTTGCATTCCTGGAATAAACCATTCTTGATCATGGTATTATTTTGGGTTTGACTTAATAACTTTTCAGTCACAGTTTATACAGTTGTGTTCATATTAAGATTGGCTTATAACTCTGAGTCATCTTTTCAGTTTTTGTCTGTTTTTAATCAGAGTTATTCTAGCATCCAAGATGAATGGTGATGTGTTCTGCAACAGTTTAAGCAGAACAGGATTCATCTGCTCTTTGGTAGTCAAAGGACTTACATAAAACTAACAGGAATCAGCACATGTTTTTTCCTCTCTGGTTTTTTTTTTTCTTTTTGAGACTAGTTTATTGACAAACTTCAAATTATTGCATGATTATTCTTTTATTATGTCAGCTTTCATAATTTATCTTATCCTGAAAAATCTGCTTTCTAGGAAATTGTCATATTTAATACCATAAAATTTTATAGGTAATATAACTCTTAAATGTTCTCCTTATCCTATTTAGATGTTATTTCTCACTCCTAAAATCATACATCTACTTTTTCAAGCTCCAGAACTTAGGTTTATTAATTTATAATTTATTAATTATTGCTTTTTTCTTATAAGGATCCTTTCATTTGCTTTCCTTTGTCTTGTTTTACTATTTTCTAGATTTTGTTAGGTACTTAATTTATTGGCATTTTTTCCATTAAATAATTCAAGCATTAGGGTTATAATTTGGCAATGTCTTCTAAGTTCTAACATATGATATTTTCCTTATGGTTATTATCTAAGAAGTATAGAATAATTTCAATAGTCACATTATTTAACAGCTATTTGAGAAATAATAGCACTGCAATAATGTAACACATGTCGTAATTATTTTCAGGATAATTTTAGGAATAATAATATAGGGCATAACTAACTTTAAATTCATACTCTCACGAAACACCATGATAAATCTATGTGATTTAAAGATAGAAACTTTAAGACAAAAATGCAGAGGATTAAATAAATGTCAGTAAGATCTCTAGATTATAGATTCAAACACTAAAAATTAAAATTAAAAACACTTGTATGACAAAATGAAACCAAGAGAAAGTATATATAATAAAGACAAAAATATATATAATAAATATAAAAAAAAGACTTATCAAATATGTAAAGAACTTGTATAAAACTAATGTACAAACATATTTTTAGTTGTGGCCACTAAAAGCAGCAATTAGAAACCCCAAAGCACAGCAATGGAAAAATATAAGTGTAAATATGTAAAAATGCACATCACAGGTATAGGAATATAATTTCAAATAATGTAAATTGCTTTATGTTTATCATAATTCTTCCTCCCTGCTTAAACACAAAAGTTTAAAGATATACAATTATACCTCAATAGAGTCTCACACATAACTTTATTAAAAAGACCAATACATCTCCACTTACAAAAGTAAAGCAAATATAAATAATTGTTAATACTGGTTGCCTTGAGTGACTAATGGATTGCCTCTTATTTTATTTTCCAAATTTTCTTTACTAAGTTGTTACTTTATATATTTTTTTATTTAAAAAAGTTTAGAGAGATTTTAGTAACGTTCCAAACCTCATAAAGTTCTTTCATTGCTGCAAGTTTAGATTCAAACTTCTCTAGACTCCAGAAAGTTGAGATTCCAAGTTTCAGGTTCCGAACCCGAACAGAAATGTCAGAACTGCCTTCACCTGACGTATCATGTCTGAAAGAAAAACCAAATGAAAATGTGCTCCCTAAACAAACACACCCATTCATACCAATGGCTCTCTGCAGAAGCATAACTTCCATAAAAATTCAGTATAGTAAATAAATCATTCCACAGATAAACATTTTTCCTTTAGCAACAATCATGTCTAATAGATACATACAAAAATAACTTCACATATTAGTTAAATTTTTAAAAATTCTCAAAGAAAGTATACTATTCCTTTAAATGCAGAGCTGTGGCTATAGCTCAGTAGTAGAGAGCTTGCCTCATATGCAAGATGCTGGGTTCCATCACCAGCACTGCCAAACAAACAAAAAGAAGCAGCACATGCCTGTAATCATAATATTCAGGAGGCTGAGGCAGGAGGATCATGAGTTCAAGGCCAGTATGGGCTACCTAGTGAGACCATGTCTCAAAAAAAAAAAGAAATAAGGAAATTTCCAAAACATCCCAAATCATTCTATTTATAGATAAACTAGTATGTTAATGGGAGTGAAAATTCTTTCACTCCCAAGTGAGCTCTGAAAATGGAGCTTCCAAGAAACACTAGGGATTGTGACACCAGCTCAATCCCAGGCAGGCACTGTAGAACAGACTTTTGGGAAACTAAATTAAAAACAAAAACATATGTAGGTCAACATACATATGTTTAAAACAAAGAATTGCTTTATAATCAAGATAACTAAGTACTCACCTGCCAAAAACATAACATTTTTTAAATTTGTTGCTGATGGTATTGGCTTCCTGAATCATCATTGAGAGTTTCATGGAGCTCCAATTTGTCTGAACTAATACAAACACACAAAGAAGATTCAAAATACACATGATCAGAAACATAGACCATAAGGACTATGCAGAAGACATCTTGATTTTTAAAGAAATGTTTTTAACTATTACGAAAGGATAAGGGTGATATTTAAGTAATTTCCCTTCAAATCTCAAAATAAAATAGTACCCAGGCACAGTGGTATACAACTGTAATCCCAATACTTTGGGAGGCTGAGGCAGGAGATCACAAGTTTGAGGCCAGCCTGAGCTATATATTGAGACCTTATCTCAAAAAAACAAAACACACAACAGCCAGGAGCCAGTGGCTCACACCTATAATCCTAGCTAACTGGGAGGCAGAGATCAGGAGGATCACAATTTGAAGCCAACCCCAGAAAAATAGTTTAAGAGACCCTATCTTGAAAATACCCAACATAAAACAGGGCTAGAGAAAGGAGTTCAAGTAGTAGTGTCTGCCTAGAAATCGTGAAACCCTGAGTTCAAACCCCAGTACCACCAAAAAAAAAAAAAAAAACCCACAACAAAACAAAATTTTAAAAATATTCTTCAAATAAAACAAGGTCTCTCACCTGTGAAGGATGGAAGAAAACAAGTTGATATAGAGTATCTCTTACAACAAGGATGTTATAAGAGAAGAAATGCTAAAAACAAGGCTTTTCTTTCTTATATCTTTAACAAAGATTTTTTTTTCTAACTTCTTTTTTCCTTATTTCTAATTTCTTTAAAATATCAGGTAAAGTACATTATTGCCTTACTTATATAGAAACACATTCCTTTTTAGCCTAAAATTCCACTTCCCTAGTTTATTTTTTTTAATTGATTTTTATTACATTAACACATACCAGTTGTACAAGTATATGGGAGGATCACAGTTTGAAGCCAGCAGGGGCAAATAGTTTGCAAGACCTTATCTTAAAAAAATTCTTCACAAAAAAGGGCTGGTGGGCTGGCTCAAGGTATAGGCCTTGAGCTCAAGCCCTAGTACTAAAAAAGAAAAAAAAAAGAAGATAATGTTATCTAGTTGCATGTGTTCAGCTACAAATGATAGGATTCCATTCTTTATTACGGCCAAGCAGTATTCCATTGTATAAATATTTCACATTTTCTTTACCAACACATTTGCTGAAGGGCATATGGATTAATTCCATATTTTGGCTCTTGTGAACAGTACTAAATAAGCATGGAAGTACAAGTACCTTTTTGATATAAAGATTTCATCACCTTTGGATTTACAGCCATTGCTGGGTCGTATAGTAGTACTATTTGTAGTTTTCTAAGGAATCTCCATACTGCTTTCCACAATAGCTACACTAATAATTTTTAAATGGGTTAAAGAAGAGACACTTTTCAAAAGAAGATACACTCATGGCCAACAAAGGCATGGAAAAATGCTCAATTTTGCTAATCATCAAAGAAATGCAAATCAAAATCTAATGAGATATCATCTTACCCCAGCTAGACTAGCCATCATCAAAACGACAAGAAATAACAGATGCTGGTGGGGATGCAGAGAACAGTGAACTCTTATGCATTGCTGGTGGGAATGTAAATTGGTACAGTTATTTTTCTAGTTGAATTTAAGGCTTTTGTGGCGGGGAGGGGGTGGTGCTGGGATTGAAGCCTTGGCTTGTGCCAAACACATGCATTCTCACTGAGCTATCGCCCAAGCCCCTAAATTTAAGATTTTATCATCAATATTTTCTGTATCAAGTAAAACTTACAATCAGTATTCCATTAAAAATACATTTTTGGAAGGGTAAAAGTCATTATTCATATGGGTTAAAAAACTCATGCATTTACTGTAAGGCATAGTTTTAGGCCCTGAGGAAAAAAAAACAATGTCTTACTACAATGTATTTATCTCTTGCAAAGATACAAATAGCACTCCTATTTTCAACATTACTTAAGACAGAAGCTACAGAATATGCAACATAACTACCAAGTATTCTTGCCCAACTGGACCTGAGTCTGATAGGCCTGCAGATCTAACCATCCCTTTCTAGAGAGGATGGAGACAAAGGAATTGTTTGAGCTCCATGGAGACACAGTAGCAGAATCAGAACCAGGGAACTCTACAGGACAGATAATCGGATTTGGTCAACAAAGTGAATTAACAACAGGAGGGAGAAGAGACACCAGAGAGGAGAGACTTGAGAGCCATATCTATCAAGTAAAGTATGTGGACCATGCTTGTATCCTGGTTCACACAAGCAAAACATAAAACATATTATAAAGGAAATTTTATTATGGTCTATATACTTGATGAGTGCAAGAAACTTAATATTTTTTAGGTGTGACAACATCATGGTTGTCACACTAAAAACCAGGACCGTTCTGTAATTTGGAGAGTAATAGGGAAGTACGTATCTCAAATGATATATCTGGGATTTGCTTCAGAACAGTCCAGGGAAACAGGGATATTGAGTATGGCAACACGACTGAAGTGATAAATGCACGTCGGTTTATTATAGCAATCTCCCCACTTTCATAGTTTGTTTGAAATTTTCCTTAATGAAAAAAGGTTAACATTTAACACGTGCTACATTCAACATTGAAATGTACCAAAGAAAAAAAACAATGTGCAATCAAAAGCCTCTGAGGATATGATGGCTTCAAACTAATAAAACCCCAAATATTTAAAGAAGAATTGATGCTAATACATCTCAAACCCTTCCAAAAGACTGAATAGGAGGAAACACTTCCATTTTATGAGGGCAGCATTACTCTGACACTAAAGCCCAACACTTCTAAACAACCAAGAAGAAAGAAAGGAGAAAGAGAGAGGGAGGAAGGAAGGAGAGTGAAAGAGAAAGAAAGAGAGAGAAAGAGAAGGAAAGAGCGAGAAAAAAGAGAGAAAGAAAGAAAGAAAGAGAAAGAAAGATAGATTGATTACAGGCCAAAATTCCTGATAACTGTAGATGCAACATTACTTAAGAAAATACTAGTAAACCAAATTCAATAGTACATACATACACCATGATCAAGTGGGATTTATCCCAGGGATGCAAAAATAGCTCAACACATGCAAATCAAGATGTAATACACCACATTACCAGATAAGGATAAAAATTATAAGATCATTTCAATAGGTGTAGAAAAGGCATTTGACATGATAAAACTTGCAACAACTTAGGTATAGAAGGAATGCACTTCAGCATAACAAAAGCCACATATGACAAGCCCACATCTAAAGTCTTCAGTGGTGAAAATTGAAAGCGCTCCCCCTAAGATCAGAACAACACAAGGAAGCCCACTCTTGCCAGTTCTATTCAACATGGTACTGGAAGCCCTAGCCAGGGCAATTGGGCAATAAAAAGAAACAAAAGGCATCCAAAAAGGCAGAAGTGAAATTGTCTCCATTTACACATAACATGATTGCATTTATAGAAAACCCTAAGGCCTCCACCAAAAATTGTTAAAAGTAATAAACAGATTTAGTAAAGTTGCAGGATTCACAACCAACATACAAAAGCAGTTGTGTTCTATATACTAACAATGAGCTGTCGGAAAAAAGAGTTATGAAAGCTACCAGACATGGATGGTGACACATACCTGTGATCCCATTACTCTGGAAGCTGAGGCAGGAGGACTGTGATTTAAAGCCAGCCTAGGATACAATACAAGATGAAGACCAAGACGAAGACAAAGAAGATGGAGATGGAGGAGGATGAGGAGAAAAACATATGAAAACAATCCCATTATAATAGCACTGTGGTTGAGAGTGCAGCTCAGTGGTAGAACACTTGCCTAGCATACACAAGGACTTGGGTTCCATCCCCAGCATGGCAAAAAAAAAAAAAGTAGCATCAAAACAATAAAATACTTAGGAATAATAAGACATTGATGAAGCTAAGCATGGTGGCCCACTCTTATTGTCCTATCCTGTCTCAAAGAAAAGAAAAAAAAAAAACAAACCAAAACTCTAAAACATTGATAAAAGAAATTAGAGACAAAAGTAAAAAACATCCTGTGTTCATGGATTAGGAGAATACTGTTAAAATCTCTATACTACTCAAAGCAACCTACAAAATCAATGTTATTGCTATCAAAATTCTAATAGTATTTTTCATAAATAGAAAAAAGTTCCTAAATTCATATAAACTCACAAAAGACCTGGAAGAGCTAAAGCAATCTTGAGCAAAAAGAACAAAACTGGAGGAATTATATTGAAGTCTGATCCAAAAAAATACTACAAAGCTATAGTAATCAAAATAGCATGTTACTGGTATAGAAACACATACACATTAAAGGTCACCTGACATCTGACAAAGGTATACCACATGAGGAAAAGGACAGTCTCTTAAATAAATGAGATTGTAGGGCCAGGCATGGTAGCTCACACCTATTATCTCAGCTACCTGGAAAGTAGAAATAGGAGGATCATGGTACAAGGCTAGCCTGGGCAAAAGCACAAAAACCCTATCAAAAACAAGCAAAAAGGGGTGGGGGTGTGGCTCAAGTGGTAGAGGGCTTGCCTAGCAAGCACAAGGCCTGGAATCAATTTTTGCCCAATATCACATGGATAACCACATGCAGAATGAAACCAGAACTTTTTCTCACGCCATACACAAAAGTCAACTTGAAATGGATTGAAGGCTTAACTACAAGACCTGAAATTGTAAAAGCACTAAAGAAAAAAGTTTCTTGACAATAGTCTAGGCAATGGTGTTTGGAATATGATCTCAACAAAAACAAAATCAGAAAAATGGGGTCTCCTCAAACTAAAAAGATTCTTTACATCCAAGGAAATAATCAACAGAGTGAAGAGACAATCTACAGGATTGGACCTGGCTTAGGTGGTAGAGCACTTGCCTAGTAAGTGTGAGGTCCTGTGTTCAAACTCAATACCAGAGAGAGAGAAAGCTTACAAAATGGGAGAACATATGTGCAAACTATACATCTGGTAAGGGATTAATACCCAAAATACATTATACCAAAATATATATACCAAAATATAAGGAACCTAAAAAACTCAATAGCAAGAAAACCTGAATAGATACTTCTCAAAAGAAGACAGCTAATCAATAATGAAAATGTGCAGTGTCACTAATCATGACAGAAATGAAAACCACAACTACCATGGGTGTTAATTTAACTATAAGGACACTAATCCCACTCATAAGGATTCTTCCTCATGACACCCACCAATGGCCCCACTTCCTAATACCACAATATTTGGGGTTATAATTTCAACATAGGAAATTTGGGGGATATAAGCATTCAGTCTACAGGGCTGATATCTAAAAACTGAATATTCTAAAATTAATCATTCATACAAATGTATTTACAAACAGAAAAGTCAGCAACATCTAGAATAAAGCATCCAGTAATTATGTTACAAAGAATATATATAACTTGAGAGGGCTGGGGATATAGCTCAGTGATTTAGTGTTTGCCTTGCATGCACAAGGCCCTGAGTTCAATTCCCAGTACCACACACACACACACAAAATATATATATATATATATATATATACTTTAGAAAATGTCTGCCAAAATCAACAAATACTCACTTATACAAGTCTTATCCCTATGACTGCGATTCTGCTGTAGAATTTGTACTTCTTGAGCAATTTTTTGCTTTTCAGTTTCTAATGCTTCCAGAATTTTTGCATGGCGAATGCTATGATCTGCTAAAGCCTGATTGATATTCATTTATTCAGTCCCGCAGGTGAGGATATGCAAAGAGAGAAGTTAGAAAATCAGACTGAGATAAGGATATATTAATTTGCTTCACATAATGGCCACATTACTATTTATATGTATTCCATAACATCAGGCTGTGTATCTTACATATACGTAAATAGTCTATTGAGAGACAGATTAATAATGGTAACACTATAATTAAACCTCTTTCATTAAGCAGACACAGGTAAAATGTTTTAAATATAAAAGGCTTTTTAAATGATATATAAAATTTATAAATAATGTTCCCCCCACGATAAAACCATTAGGAATTTTTGATAGCATAGATTAATCTCTTTTTTCTCATTGCTAGGAAATAAAGAATCTACAGAGAGGAAAAAAAAGGAAAAACAATTTAAAAAGGGACATATTCAAGATTTGCAGACTAAATGAAGAAGTTCAACTTAAAATATAGAAAAACCCTCCTGTGGCACAAATAGGTCTTAATATCCCGCTAATAACATTGTTTTTCAAGAGTTAAACAGCTCTGTTTCCCTCCTAAAACTCTCTGAGGAGGCTCACAAGCCACTTTGAGTCCTAGAGAATTGACTGACTGCGTTATCATTGTATCAAGGCACCAGTATTTTGGGATGACTAGAGTACTTCCTTCTACCCCTAACCCCAGCCCATCTCCACCACACCACAAACTAGGAAAAAAAAGAAACAAAATTGCCATTTGAGCATAAAACCTTAAAATTAAGAAATAAAAAAATCGAAACAGAGATTTAAAAAAACAGGGGTTCTCAAACTTTAACATTCATCAGAATCTCCTGCAGAAGAAATTGTTAAAACAGACTCCAGGCTTTGCCTCCAGAGTTTGACTCAGTGGCTCTGGAGTGGACCTAAGTATTAGGAAATACTTTGAGAACACTGATAGAAAGAATGGCAGAAAAATGTTGCCAGTAAAGTGACTAAAGATATTAACAAATTAACATCCTGGTTTTATCCTTCAGTCTTGTAAACTTGGTTAATGGGATTTGGCTTTGGAAAGCTGCCTCTGTCCTTGATGAGGTCCTGACCTCTTGAGACTGAGTTCTAGAAAGCAGCCTGCTTGTTGCTGTTTCCCTGGGCAGATAATACTTCATTCTGATATCAGATTGTGACCCAACATAAGAAACATAGTTTCTTCCAACTACAGTTATTTACATTATTTAGCATACCTGATGACAGGACAGTTATAGATTCATAAAAAGAGAAAAGTGGAATGGAACTGGCTGGGAGTAAGAGCTCCAGCTTTTCCAGTGTCTGTGATGATGTGAGCACATCTGTGAGTGGTGCCAGGATGTAAATTTTTAGGCAGGAAGAGCTGCTCTCATCCAGAGACCTAACTTGGCTCTTTCCTGTCCAGACACCATTTTAAAAGAAGAAAAATCCAGCCTCTTCTCAGAATAGAGCAAATTATGTGTAACATGAAATTACCTGCTTTGTAGCCAGAGTCTCCATCTCTAATCGTTTATTGTTGACATATATTTCCTGTTCAAGATGCTGCTTTGCCTTTTCTAATTCTTCAATTTTGTGATTAGCCTTTTGGTTATTTATCTCCTGCATTTTCTTCCTTTGAGACTCTTCTCTCTTTAAAGAACATTAATAAAAATTAACTCAGGCAAAAATGCAATTTTAAAAAAACTGTACACCAAAAAAGTACAAAAGGCCCTTTCTTTAATCAAAGCACAAGAAATTACCAATGGAAAAGTCATCCTGTAGCTTCTCTATTTCACTCAGGTTAACTAATCTAAACAAAAATCAATGTCACTAGTCAAACTTCGAAGAGTACTCTCCTCTAAAATGGGTTTCTGGAAATGTGAATTGGCAGTAAACTATGAAAAGGAGCCACGACTCCCCTGGCTAGAAGACAGAAGCCTCTCTATTTTCTCCTTCAGTAACCACTGTCTACTACCAACCTGCTTCTTGGAGTAAAACAAAAGAGGGCCCCTGTGCTCTAACTCTAGTCTTTGATACACTCAATTTCAGTCACTTTCAGTCACTTAGGGCACTCTGCATGTTACCAGTTCTGTTTCCAGTGCTCTTATTTTGCTTTCATATGCAGCTTTTTGAGAAAAGAGTTCTTGCTGAGCCATTTCTTTTGCAATTTGGATTCCTTGCATCATTTCTTCCTTTGCTTTCAATTGGGCCTCTTTTATTTCTGCTTCAAGTCTACAAAGTAGCAAAGTAAAGGATATGCTGTTAAGAATTCTTTATATACCAAAACAGTCATTAATCACATTAAAATGTTTTCTATTGGAAAAAAAGCACATTTAAATCTTAAAATTTAATTTCTGAGATACAATCAGAGTTCCTAAATTTTTCATTGGCTCTAGAATTGTTTACACACAAAAAAATATAACAGGATGGAAATTTCCAACTTATTTACTAGTGTAAGTGCCTGATATTTAAAGGAATATATTTTTCTATTATACATAATTTATTATTATAAATCATTATTATTTATTTTTAAAGGAAAATAAATTATAAAATATGTTGTAGCAAACATTACAATTAACATTATAATAAATACAAAATACGGGTATTTATGATAAACTAACAATGGTTACAGCAAAAATTATACTCTATATATCAATACCTTTGATTTATGTTTGATCATAGATCAGGAAAACACTAAAATGACTCTTAAAAAAAAGCACGATACACGAGCTGATAAAACAGAAATTTTACCATTTATGTTTATAATAATTTGATGTTTGGAAAAGTCAAAATATTAACTTGTCACCTCTCAACATGCAGGAGAAAAAGCATCAATGATTATAGAAAACTAAATAGTTTCTTCCCAACAAAATCAGTGCTTTATCACTGCAAGAAAGGGCTGGGGTTACCAGGGAGAGGGAGAGAGCGCTCTGCACAGTGACAGACACATAACAGATGCTCAATAGATGCTTGTTGAACAAATGAGTTTCCAAGACAAAAAGCTGCATCATAGAAACCAGCACTCAAAGAAGTAACTACTGTAGCCCTATACATGAGATTAGCTCTCTGAAAATCTTTCTCATGCTCTTACCACTTCACATCAATAGTAATACTTACAGAGATCTCTGAGCCATAAGTAACTCATTTTTGGCAAATTCAAAGTCTTTTGGCCCCTCACTTGTAAAATTATCTCTACTGGATGGTCTTTTGCCTTTCTGGACTTCAACCGGATGATTAAATCTAAAATAATGATCTCCACCAAGAATCACCCGATCACCCTAAAGCACACACAAAAATTTACCACTTGAGATGAGAAAAATCATAGCTCAACAATTGAAAATAGCTACTATACCTAATGATAAACGTTAAAATCATAGCAATTCACATTTGATTTCTACATGCCAAACACTGTGGTAAGCAATTTACACACACTCTCTCTCTTTTATGTCACAAAACTCAAAAGATACATATTATCCCAATTTTGGGAAGGAAGAAACTAAAAAATATACACCTACCTTAATAATAAAACAAACATTCATTGAAACTTTACTCTTTGCAGGCAATGTTCTAAAAACTATATACAAAGTATTGCTTTACTTAATCCTCCACTCTCCTGAAAAGAAGGATACACAGTATAACCATTTATCTAGGTTTACCTGCAACAGACAGGTTTATGCCTATTCTGAGATGATGACAATGACAATTTTATGGGACTGGAGTTTGAACTGAGGGCTTCACGCTTGCAAAACAGGCACTCTACCACTTGAGCCATACCGCCAGTCTATTTTGCTCTTGTTATTTTGGACATGGGGTTATGCCAGGGCTGACCTCAAACCATAATCTCCCAATCTCAACCTCCCAAGTAGTTAGGATTCCATATGTAAGCCACTGGTACCCAGCTTCTGAGAAAATTATTAATAATACTCTAAAAAGTGTCATGACTGGGTGATGTTACTCATCACCTAGTTATGTAACTTGACAAAGGTCACATAGCAAATGGCAGAGCCAGGATTTCAACACACAGAACCTGTTCCCAAAGCCCATGTCTTTACAGGTTGCATAATGGTGCTGTTAGTGGTCAGCAGTTACTGATTCACAGTAATAATAGCTTTTGTCTATGAATGTACAAAGGAAGGCAACTAGTGAATTAATATGAAGAATTTCTTAATCTAGGTGAACTCCCATATCTTACAAAGGAGAAATCTAGGCCTCAAAGAAATTAAATGACTTGTCCAAAGTCAGACAGTTCCTTACATGGTACACCCATCCACTTACATGATGTAATACTGTAGGCTCCAAAATATGTTTTCCATTTACATATGTCTTTGCTTCCCCAACTGGGATAATACTCACTGTTGCTTCAAAATTTTTGATTGTACTGTTGAAATAAGAAGCATGAAAGACAGAAAAATGTAAAATGGGCGAGATAAACCTATTTGAGTTATTCCCTTGGTGTTAAGATTCACAGCAATTTGTAGCAATAACTTAAAATTACTTTATTTTTCCTCAATTACATTTTGAAGTTTGATGAAGAAAGCTTTGGTCTCTCTAGCAATTCTATTTACCAGTGGTGGGAAGAATTTTCATTGTATGTATTTTGAGTATAACTTCTTTAAAAAAAACATTAAAATATCAACAATGGTTTACTATAAGTGGATATGAATGGAAAAGTTTTAAGCATTTTTATTTTTTGAGCTTTTGGTTTTACAAGTGAGTTTTAACAATGGAGAGAACAGGAGTCAGAAGTAGTGGCAGAGTATGCTCAGTGGCAGATCATTTGCTGAGCATGTGCAAAGCCCTGGGTTTAATCCCCAGCACCAAAACAAAACAAGAAAAGACATTTTTTTCCCTCATGAAAAGTGAGGTATTACAGAGTAAGAAAAAGCATACTCTTTAGTCATCTAGCTAAGTGAACCCTGACTATACAATGATGCTGTGGAAAATCAATTGTAAGTGCTACATATTCCTTGGAGACTAGGAAACTCCAAACAGCAATTTGGACTATCTAGACAGAAAGAAAACTACACAAAAGTTGAGTCCTAACCTGACCTCTGGCTATTGATTAGATGCTAGAATCTGTAATGAGAATAATAGTTCAATTAAAGCATCCAAGGAAAAGTATGTAGGGAAAACAGTTCATTCCTAGGCAGTAGCTCCCTCCCACCAGTCAAGTGTTTAAGTCAGGTAAACGGTGTCTACTTGATCTGATCCCTTCCCTCTCCTGCTTCTGTGTACTTGGTCATCAAAATTCCATGGTCTAGAGTTTTGGACTCCACAAAAATCTGACATCAACCACCAATATCCCTCGTTTGGCACTATTTTCCCAGAAGAACCACATCTCACACTCAATTAACTATATTGGCACCCTAAATTCGCCATAATATATTGTCTTCCCTTCTTTTTTTGTTACTCCTTCAACGTGGGACATCCTCTCCCTTTCTCCATCATCCTTCAAGGCTCCACGTGGCTGCTAGAGTCCCTAGGAGGCTTTTCTTTAGGGCTAAGTGAGATGAATTCTTCCTTCCCACTGAGCATATAGTCCTCATCTAATGCTTCAACTACACATTAGTGAGTTCTGAAGTCTTTTTCCTGCAAGCCAAATCTGTGTCATCAGTGAGGACAGATAGAAAACCAGCATTCATGAAGTTCATAGTCTTGTCAGACAGACACTGATGAGTGCATTAAATGGGAAAGTACAGAATTCAAGGCAAACAAGAGCCTTCCTAGCCCCCTGCTGGACTATTAATTTTTTGCAAGTATGTTCCATATCTTTGTCATTGATGTAAGTGATGCTGTATTTATTTGTCAAATAAAACAATTAGCAGAGAGCCAAAGGACCTGAAGAACAAGGGAATCTCATTTCAAGGCTTAAGTGATCAAGACTATGGTGTATTAGTGAGAAAAATATATTTACTTATTTTTAGAAATTTTTTTGTAGGAGAGTTGCAGCTCACAAAAAAAGCAATATACTATTTAATATAAAGTACTGGGAAATCGAATATTCACATAGAAAAATAGGTCTCTACTGCACACAAAATAAAAAATTCCAGGCTAATTAAGGCCTTAAATTGTGAAACAAAACATCAAAACACCTAGAATAAAATTTAGGCAGACATCTCTAGGACTTCAATATTATATAATATAAACATTCTTTCTCTCTCTCTCTCTTTTTTTTTTTTTTTTTTTTTTTGTGTGTGTGTATGGTACTGGGGCTTGAACTCAGGGCCTTTATCTTGAGCCACTCCACCAGCCATTTTTTGTGAGGGGTTTTTCAAGATAGGGTCTCGTGAACTATTTGCCAGAGCTGGCTTTGAACCACCATCCTCCTGATCTCTGCCTCCTGAGTAGTTGGGATTACAGGTGTGAGCTGTTAGCACCTGGCAAAACATTCTTTCTTAAGCAAAACACAAAACTAACAACCATAAAGGAAAAAGTTGATACCAGGTACTAAAACCAATCAAGACACTGTAAGAGAGTGAAGAGATGAGCTGGACACTAGAAAAAGATATTTTCGACATGTAAAACTTACCAAGGACTGGCAAACAGAATATGTAAAGAACTATTACAAATCATTAAAAAGAAAAAGAAATCCAATTGAAGAAACGATAAAGGACATAAACAGGCAAGTCAAAAAGAGGCTCACCTCATTATTAATCGAGGAGATATAAAATGAATTCATAATGAGATGATGTGTTACAAGATTGGCATAAATCAAAGTCTGTCAGTACTAAGTGTTGACACTGATATGGACTAAAATATGTATCCTCAATGCCAATGGGAGTGAACACTGATAAACATTGTGGAAAACAATTTGAAAATACATAATATGGTTGAATATGCACATATCCTACAACTCAAAACCTCTACTCTTGGGCATGCGTTCTAAATCTTAAACATTATTATTATAATAGCATAATTGGACATACCATCAAAGTTCCGTAGCACATTAGGGAAAAGACAGAAACTGCTCTCTGATTTGGCAGCTCAGACATCCCACACTCCTAACTAGCTTCCCTGAGGACTCTCAGGGTCAGTGTGTCAGCTTACCATCTGGGAAACTGCTTTACAGAACTTTATATTTGTATCAAAAGACATACACAAAAATACTCACACCGATGTTAAGGTAGCAAAAAAATTTAAAACAACCCAAATGTCTATCAAAAAACAGACAGATTGTCATAGTATAAAAGATCAATGGGCATGACAGAATCTTTGCAGCAGTAAAAATAAAAGAGCATCTATATGGACAAAACTAAAAGCATAATGTAGAACCAAAAAATTTATAAACACTATCATATTGTGTATGATACAAGTATCATATACTTGTATACTAAACAAATACAAGTATCACTCTAATCATGTGAACAAAATTCACATAAAACAAAAAATTTTAATTTTTCAATCCAACCAAAAGTTTTGCTATGTAAGAGGCATAGAAGTTTACTTGTATGCCCATAATTCCAAGAAAAGGAGTTATCCTTTAATCAACAGATCAAAAACATAATTTAAGAGCATTATATAATACCTTTTATTGATAGTGACTCACCTGTTGTTCTTATAAAACACTCAGAATGTGTTTTTCCTGGCTAAAAGATAGATTTGAAGAAGTATAGCAAAGAATTGGTATGAAAGAATGTCTCCATGAAGGAAGGAAACCCCACATTAACAAGATACAAAAACCTTCTGAAAATGTACAGGTGCCCTCTGTTTTAGAAGGTGACATACCAGTGGTCATCAGCAATCAGCACTCCAGACAACTGAATGTCATGGCTTGAGTTTGGTTTATACTTTCCAACTGTAGTTGTTCCTTCTTTTATCATATATAGCAGCATCTCCGACAACTGTGGATCTTCATTGAGATTAACCAGGTTTGGCAAATGGTTGTCCATTTGAAATGTAATTCCTGCTTTCTGGTGGAAGTGAAAAAAAATTAATCTTAACCACAGCATGCAATTCTTAAATTCACCAAAAAAGAGTGGGCTCTGTTAAACATTAGAATTAGTTTATGCAGAGTCTCAATAAATGAATGGTTCCTTGAACTGGTCTGCAGCTTGATGGTAGTGTGTGTTGAGCATCTGAAAGCCCCAGCACCACCACCATCCCCCAAATTAAAGATTTTCTAGAATCTCTCCTTTGTGAGTTCTCTGTGACTGCTACCATCCTACTTGTAGAGTTCTGCTGGCCTTTATTTGCCCCTCACCATCCTCAGTCTACTCTTATGTCAACCCATCATCACCAAACTGGTCTATTCTTATTCACCATTGTCTTTACAATGGATCAGTTCTTCTGGTGGCATTTTCATTGTCATCACCTTAATTAATCCCTTATGGACTCCCAAGAACTACTGCAGCAGCCTTCTGGACCACCCTGCCCACAGGTTCTTTTGTTGTCAACCCATTCCATACCAGATGAGTTCTCTTAAAAGCACAATCTCAAAGTGTGAATTCCCTGGTCAAACACTTTCAATGGCCTCTCATTTCCCACAGGATAAAACTTAAATTTCTTGACCTGGAAATCAAGTTCTTAACAAGCCCATCATATCTTTCCAATCCCATTTCCTCTGGCCTCATATAAACAGACTATTTGTTCCAACCAAACTGGTCCCCACGCCCTCTTCGGAGGACTCTTAAACTCTCATGTGATTTTCCCTTCCTACAGTGCTCTCTTCTTTCTTTATGGAAAAGCTTCCCTGAGCTCCTAAGCCCAGCTCAAATCACACCTCTTCTATAAGGTTGAACTGGCCATTCCAAGTTTTCCCGCCTTCCTCTGAATTCTTACAGTACTTCCCCACTCCATATGTCATATTTTTGTTTTTGTTTAGAGAGACAAAGTCTCTCTTTTTTAAGCCCAGGCTGGCCTCAAACACATGGTCCTCCTGCCTCAGCCTCCTGAGTGCCGGGATTATAGGCACATACCAATATCCTTGCTCTTAAATCATCTTCTCCAACCTCTTAGAATTTCCTCCATTAAGGAATTTTGGTCTCTATAAAAATATTCAAGTACTTTCTACCTTTTAAAGAAACAAAAACAAACCAAAAAAACAAACAAACCAAAAATGAAAACTTTGCCTCAACATTGCAGCCACTCTCCCTGACTTCCACAATTCTCATTTTCAAAGAGTTCTCTGTATGGCTTATTTCCTCATCTCTGCCATTTCTCAACCCTCTATCAACTGGCTTCTTCTTCTGCCACTACAACGACTCATGATTTCACAATCAATGAACGCATTTCTAAAACCTGGGAGTCATTCTTGACTTTTCCATTTCTCTCAATATCCACATCTAAAAACAACTCCCAATAATGGTAGTTTTATCTCCTTTCCTTCCTCTCTCCCTCTTTCAGCTGGTTTTAAACTCATGATCCTCTTGCCTCTGCCTCCTGAGTTTTGGGATTACAGGTATGAACCCCCACACCCAGCTCTTCTCTATTCTTGACTCCAGTTCTTCCTATACATTTCTATTGTCTCTGCCTTACTCCAAGCTCTTCTTATCTCTTGCCTTAACCACAGCAACAGCTTCCTAAATGACTTGCCCTGCAATCTGAAGTCTGTTCTTCAAACTCATCTTTCCACACTATTACCAGAAGAATTTACTGAAAATGAAAGTCTGCTCATATCACTACCCTTCCATTTAAAACCCATCAGGTTCTCCCACTCCCCCAAGTTCAAGTTCCTCACAATGTGAATCTTGCATCTTTCTCCAGTCTAAACTCTGTTCCAGCTTTAATTTCTAACCATCTGAAACTTAATTCTTTCAACATGCAAGCTGTATTGTGCCTTCATGCTTTTAAACATGGTATTCCTTTACTTAGAAAATTATGACCTTGTTAGCCTAGCAAATTCTCATTCATTGTACAAAACTCTGCTTGGTTGTCTTTCTCTTTGAAGTCCTCCATCACAACTACCCACCTCAAAGTAAATTATTCCCTCCTCTCCCCTACTTCTCTTCCTTTTATGTAATTTTCACTGCATTAGAGTGAACCATATTCTAAAAAAGTGTTCCGACTTTTTTACCTATGAAAATGGCAGTTTCATGTGCTGCTGTCTAATCAAGTCACACCACATTTCAGTCTTCTAATTATAAGCTCTCTGACAGCTAGAACTATACTTATTCACCTTGGCTTCTCCTGTTCCTGGGACAACACAGACATTTAATAAATACCTGTGGATAAAGTGAACGTAACAAGCCATTTTTTTCTATTTTAACTTTTCAACTAGATCATAGGCCCCAGGCAATCACAATCTTGATCTTAACAATTCTTTATATAATTCTCCTTATGATATCACTTTGTACAGAGGGAGTATACAATAAATATTTGAGGAACTAAATTTGCATACTGATTTCCAAATCAGATCAGAACACTGAAGTAATACCTGTAACTCCTTTGTTTCTTGGAGTTTTCTCTTTTCAGCCTGTTCAAGCTTTTCTTTCCATAGTCTTTTCAAAAACAAAATAAAAGAATTAAAAAAAAATCCAGATATGTACAATTGTGAATCTAGAGACAGTCAGTGGAGATTAGGGAACTATCAGGCAACGGTTAACACGAGTCTGAAAGCAGGCTGCTCCGTTCACAGGGAAGGTGGGAGAAAGACAGATGCAGTGTCCTCTTAGGGTCCCTCCCAGTCCTACAGTTCCACATCAACACCTCTAATATTCAAGGTGTTGACCACGTTTACCTTTGCATTTCTGCCATGTCTCTTTCCTGTTGATGCAATTTCATTCTTAAGGATGTTATTTCTTGCCGGCAGAGTCTGTATCGTTCAGGGTCAATATTTCGATTGTTTCTCTGAGCAGATTTTAGCTTTTCAATTTCTGCTTTCAATTCTGAAGATTTGTAAAAAGATGCATGATTAACAACACTTGATATGTACTGATTTCCACACAAGGATTATCCTCCAATGTTCTATTTCATCTGACATTTTAAATATCACTAATAAAATAAAACAGAAACCAGTTCTACTTTACTTACATGATCCATAAATCACTACCCAGCATTAATCTGAAAAAGTGCTCCCATATCAATGAATTTCCCCTTCCTAAGTAGGATGGCCATATAAGGTACTGTCAAAGTGAGATGCTTCTGAGTGGCTGAGGGTGCTAGGACAACAGATAAACTGGGATGGTCCTAGGCAAGCATTACTCATAAAGACATGTGAAATAAAGATCACAGATTTTTCAAGATGGAATGCAGAATGCTTAGGGTTTTTTATTTATTTATTATTTTTTTTTGGTAGTACTGGGATTTGAACTTAGAGCCTTGAGTTCTACCACTTATACCACTCTTTCCTCCCCGCCACCCCCCCCCCACAAACTTTTGGTTATTTTTTATATAGGCTCTTGTGTTTTTGCTCAGGGCTGGTCTTTTTTTTTTTTTTTTTTCCATCTGTGTCTCTCCTCAGTGAAGCACAGCACTACTGCTGAGTGACTGTGGCATCCCATAGAGAACTTCAATCTCAGGTCACAGCGTTAAGAGCTCTTGGTTTTACAGCCCTAAAATCGGGGCTGGTCTTAAATCTTGATCCTACTACCTATGCCTCCCAGTAGCAGGGATCACAGGGGCACACTATCACTGTTTGACTTATTGGTTAAGATGGGGGTCTAACTTTTTGCCCAGGGTGGCCTTAAACCTTGGTCCTCCTAATCTCAACCTCCCCAAATAGCTACAATTAAAGGTGTGAGACACTGCATCCAGCCAGAATGCTTATTTTAATGAAAACAATCCCATTTGTAAAGGGAAAAATGGATTATGTTGAGAAAACTGATCCTTCTCTGGCTCTGACCTCATAAGTGTCTATTGCCTTCTACTGCTAAAAAAGGAACAGAGGGCAAAAAGGAATGAAAAGATGGTAATTACACGTGAGCAAAGTTAAAATGATGTACAAAGTACAAATCAAGATTCCTCTCAGGTATTAAACTGCATCCTAAGAGATACAGAGGAAGCAGTCTTTAGCATAAATGAAAATAGCCTATGCTAGAAACTCAAGCTCAAACAGCTTTGGGTCAATAAACTAACAAAATACAGAATAAATAGAACAACAATGAAGGAAAGGTCATAAGAGAAATTTAAAAAATCAATACTTTTTTGTTACTCTACTATACACATCTCCAATTAAGTCTGTAAATTGTTTTTCTACACTTCCTGCTTCTCCTTTGCCCCACTCTATTTTCTACAGCCTTTTCCTGATTGTTTCCCCTTACAGCTTATTCTCCATCTCACTGCCCTGTAACCAGTCTTTCCCCATCACAGAAGGATTGAGAACTGGAATCTGTTATAAATAGGTAAGGGAAAAAAATCCTTGATTTTCTTAAAGCTGCTTATTTTAAGACTGAACTAATATGTGAGTCTAAATTGTGGCAAAATAATTTTTAAATCTTGAGAAAAATAATCACCTCTAATTAGCTTAGCATTCACATCTTCATTTACTTTGGCAATGTTGACTATCAGACGAGCCTGGTTAGCATATCTAAGTGTGCTTAATGTTTCTTCTATGTTGCTGGCCGCAGGACTGATGGTAGCAATCATTGCAGTTTTTGAATTTCCACCCAGACTTTCTTTTAATAGCCTTCAAGGGGAAAAAGTCATAATTAGACTTTATTTCTACAACAACCTCATAACAGTAATTATCTAGAAAGCACAAAACAAATAGGCCATGTAATACTGTATTATACTCTTCACTCAAAATACCATTTAAAATGTTTTTGGTATTTGTAGCCATTTTTAGATCTCATAAGCACTTTATTTTCTCTTACTTGCTAAATTGTTTCTGTGCAGAGGCTTATGAAAAATGGCTAGCCATCAAATATTTAGTAAGATACCTCTTCCCTTACCAGACTGTGAGCTACTTTAGGAAAGGGACTATGTATCTTGGACATCTCAACAAATGTTGAAAGTGATGAGAGAACATATAAACAAAAATTCTGTATTATACTATGTGCAAAAGTTTTATTTTGGAGGGGGAAAAAAGAGTAAGAGACTTAAAAATACATCTTTTATTAGTGCAGAATGAATTTCACTATTCCTAACTTTCCCAAGGCAAAAAATAGGCTTTCCATTACAGGATTCAAGGTGGTAAGAACATCATAACTAATCGATCAAGAGGTGGACCACATTCATAGAGAAGTGGTCCCAGCCAGCACTGTATACTGCTGCTCTTTGACGTGAGCTGAGCTACATCTAGATAAACCCATCATAAGTTAAAAATATCATGTTAAAATGTATTTCATACATCTAACCTAGCAAACACCACAAGTGAGCAGCATGGCGCACTGTGGAGTAGGGGTGTGCACCTCGTGCTCAGGCAACTGACTGGAGCTTAGCTCCAAGCTCCTGTCCAGCATGTGAGTGTACCTCACATGCACTAGCATATCACTAATCCAGAAGAAGGTCAAAAGTCAAACCTCACAGTCTGGTTTCTGCTGAGCACACATTGCTTTCACACCATCACAGAGTAGAAAAATCGTAAGTCAGGCCATTATAAATTGGGGACCACCAATCTGTAATTAATGCATCTCAGAACTGAATATTAAATGTGTACATATGTAATTTTAATGTGATGTACTAGAAATAAAACATTCACTAATGAAAACAGCACATATATGCTCACCATTATGTGGTAGGCAAACAAAATAATTGAATGTCACCTTATACATATATGCATGCATGTTAGACACTAATAACAATTAGATATAAGAATATTTATGCTTGTATAAGAATAGTTGTTCACACTCATGTAGTACATGCTATGTATTAAGACTTTCATAGCAATTAATTATTTCTCACTATTACCCTAAAAGATAGATATTGCTATGATTCTTGTTTTATAGAAGAGGAAATAAGCTAGATCATTAAGTGATTTGCCCAAAGTTGTATAGCTTATAAGATGTAAACCTGAGATTCAAATCTAGGGAATTTGGCTCTAGAATTCATATTACTAAGCACATCTATCTCAAAGTTGTATGAAGTCAGCCTATCATTCTTTTCCTCTTACTATTCACTACATTTTATAATAATTTTTTTGAGGCAGGGCAGTACTGATTGAACACAGAGCCTCAACCTTGGTAGACAAGTACTCTACCACTTGAGATATACCCCCAGCCCTAGTTAATATAATTTGTTGTACTTTAAGATATTTGCAGGCTAGTGGAGTGGCTCAAGTAGTAGAGTGCCTGCCTAGCAAGCAAGGCTGAGTTCAACCCCAGTACCACCACAAAAATCCCAAAATCCCAAAAGATACTTGCCACGTAAGAACAGATTCACGATATGGAATAAAAACCCTCCTTTGGTTTGCTTGTTCCGAGAGTGCAGATATAACCTTTCCCAAAGTTAGCAATGACTTGTTAATGCTCACGCCTTCCTGTACATAATATTAAAAAAAAATTTCCTATTCAGAAAATTTATTTAACTATATATATATACATATATATATATTCATATAATACTACATATTTTCCCACAAACTATCACTTTTTTATAACTCAAAATGTATTAATTCTCTTGAGAATAACCCAAAACAACCAGAAATAACCCAACCAATACAATCTATAAACTGCAGATATTACATATATATGCATTTATATATGTTTTGGCTTTTGTTGCTGTTGCTGTTGTTAAGAATATTCACTCTGTATTCCTAAAAATAATGCCCTCATTAAAATGAGAAGAGCAAAACAGGCAGTGGTCATCGCAGCTCCTTGAGAGACTGAGGCAGGAGGATTGCTCACACCGAGTTTAAGGCCAGCCTGGGCAACACAGTGAGACAGAAAGAGAGGAATCCATTCACCTTCAGCCGATCTCCACTCGTGTAGGTTGCAGAGCAGCGCTCGCTGCCAGCCAGGTCTACCAGGCTTATGCGACTTGTTACTCTGTGATCATGTTCTTCCCCTTCCACAACCTCTGTCTAAAGAAAATGACATTACAATAGCTTAAGTTCTTCTTATGACTTGCTGTCAATATACATCTTTAAAGGGAAACATACAAGACAAATAACTCATTTATTTTTAAAACTATCCCTTCTTTAATCTGTAATAATTTATAATACATAAATATCCACACTTCATTGAGTAATGGATTATGTCAAAATAAAAGAAATAACTTTAAAGGGATTAAAATCCTTTACTATTCAGTTATAACTATAAGCAAACAACTATAAATAGAGATAAAGGTTAATTCACAAAAATATTTATCCCAGCATTATAATAGCAAGACATTTATAATCAATATAAATGTCTAACAATAGAGAAAAAACTGAGGAACGGTAAGTTAATGGAACATTATATAGCTTTTAGAAAGTATCTCTGCAAAGAATTTTAATAGCATAGAATCATTAAAATATTTTGTGAATTTGTTTAAATGTGACTATAAAACAGCTGAAAGATTATATACCAAAACATTTACAGGGGTTTGAATAGTAGAACCTATGAATGAACTTTTAAAAATCTTTACTAATTTTCCAAATACTCTAGTTAGCATATATTATTGATAATATATTATCATATATTGATATTATCAATGATATAATAATAGATTAATAATCATCATTATTTATTCTTTAAAAATTACAAATAACATACTATTGTATACACCAAAAGTCATTCAAGTTTATTGTGCAATTTCCTGAAATTCATTTATAGTTGCATAGTTATATGGTATACTTTCACCTTTTGATTTATAGAAAAAAATAAGAAAAACATGAAAAAAATGTATTTACTATCTTCCCTATGAAAATAAACAACAACGAAAATACCTTGGTCTGGGTCATGACCAGGGTCAGCACAGAATGAGACCGGGAACTTTTATCATTCATGCCGGTAGCAGCAGTTGCTCTTTGTTTATTTCCCAATTCCAGCCAACTCTAGTAAGAAAGCAAGAAGGCTGATCAGATGAGCAGAGTGTAACTTATTGGAAAAAAAAATAAGGAACAATGTTGAGAAAGCACAGTATAACATATACACATGTGTAATTAGCTTATAAAATAAAATAAAGGGTTCTTTTAGTAATTTTTATTCCCATTGCTTTTTTTTGTCACAGAAACCTAAATTAGGAAATAATACCATTAAGAAGCTATTTCTAAAGTTCTAAGGTGACACAATATTCAATATTTACTTTTAATTCAGAAGAGCAAATTTTTATATTAGCATATATTAACCATACAAAGAGGTTTCATTGAAGCAATTGTTTGATTAAAGCTTAACAAACAAAAGCGGTTCATAATATATTAAACTTTTGCTCCTGTAAATAGCAATTGAAAACTAGTCTTAGAAATATTTATGATTATGCTCTGTATAATAAAAAAGAAGACAAAATACAACCAATCTTACCTGGATATCAGAGTAAGAACTGACAACATTCCTATTTTTTAAGAAATAAAGAGACAAAATCAATTTTACTGATGATTTTATTCATACCTTCATAAATCAATAATCTTTCAGTACATAATTACTCCCTGAAGATCACAATGGACTAATGCAGAAGCATCATCATACTTACTCTCGCTGACTCTTTCATTTCCCCAATTCTTAAAGGGCAAGAAATAAGATAATATTTTCGACTTATCAAAAGTATGATTTAAAAATAATCAAGCACCATAGCATCTTAATAGTCTAGTATTCAAATATAAATCATGTCCTTCAAAGATATATTTTAACACATACATATATGCATAGGTACATCTATGTGTGGACACAGGTGTATAGGTCCAATAAAATTCCAGATTTATTAAGTAAAGCCAACTTTATACTGGATCATTTTCCTTTCCCTTGAGAAAAGCATTTGGGGTGCTGAAAAAGAAAGTAAATGACTCTTGGCATATATAAAATTCTTAACTCATCTTAGCAGTATCTTCCCTTTTCAGCTTAAATATGTATAAAAAGCAGATTGAGAGGGAGGGTTGAACTTAGTGGGGGAAGAGACAGAGCAAAAAAGGAGAAAGATAAAATATTTATTTCACACTCAATTTAATCGATACTCTATGTCTCGCACTTTACAACTGCTGTGAGAGATACACACAAATATAAACAAGGAACCAACATCCTGCTGGAAAGAGAGGGCAGGTTTGATTGGCTAACATTAAGGGTAGAAGACTAGATGGTTATGTGGGGTTTCAAAGCTGGGGAGGCCAATAAGAAAACAGTAAGGACTACGGGAGAACACATTCACTCTACTTGTTTTCTTCCCCTGCTCTTGCTTAGCCAAACACTTACATTGACAGCGCCTCAACATATGGTCCAGAAATAGGATGCTCCCTTACTCTCAGCTGGAAGAAGCAAATATCAGCATCTTTAAGAGTCTAACAAGTATTCCTTTTAAAATACAGTTTTAAATGATCATTTTTCTATCCTATAAGGCACTAAGAAACTGCTTCACCACCAAAATTATGTACAGTTGCACAACATGCAACAATACGTTGTACAGATGTCTCACTAAATTTTTTTTAATTCTTAAGTTAAATCCTACTATTTATATGCTTTTAACTCTCTCTAAAACATTCACTAAATCTCAGACATTTAAATTTTTCTTCACTTTTACATTTACATTTTAAATTTTGTGACCAGAGATATTAAAACACATAGAAGTCATAAAAGCAAATGTCATTTTGTTTAAGTGTCTTGATACTGTCAATGGTAAACTGTATGACCTTGAATAAAGACAGTGACTTTAGAGTTTCATTTCTTGTGCTAACAAGGTCCATTGCAAAATTAAAACTTTTCAATTCTAACAGCAGTTTTTTAAAAAGTTAAAATCTATTTCAGCTTTTGATATCTACAACATATCAAATAAACAATTCAACTGAAATACATATTGCATAATAAAAATATAAATTTTTTTAAAACTTTTGCTGTTTTTTGGCTTACAGACCATTAGGAATTTCATGTTTGACTTGGATGGTCCAACAAATACTTTAACTTTTATACAACACTTGATCAAAAGTACTTGATAAATGCGGTCAAATCTCAACTCATTTACTTTCCACTGGTGACAATATTCATCTTACTTTCTAAATAACAATGTAGTCAGATTATGACATGAAAGCATTTCAGTAAAAATTTGAGCCATAGTAACCACAGAACTCACAGATGCATTTACAAAAGCAAATAATAATAAATTGTTTAAGTCTTACTGGTTGTTTTCTCTGCCCATTTTCACCTTTACAAACCAGAAGGTCATGAATTTTTTCATTGTATACTTCAAAGAAGCTCATTTCAAGGTGGCAGCTGACCTAACAGGAATAGAGACAAAGATTCAACCTATTTTAAAACTCTTTGATTATTTTGTAAATCATATACCTGATATGGGTCTCGCTTCCAGAATATAAAAAATACTCTTACAACTCAGCACAAAAAAGCAATCAACCCAATTAAAAAATAGGCAAAGGAACTTGAATAGTTTCTCAAAAAAAGATATAAATGGCAAACAAGCCCAAGAAAAGAAAAGATGCATAACAAAATGGCATGCCAGCAGGGATGTACACACCAGAACCACAATGAGAAACCACTTCACACTCACAGGATGGCTATAACAAGAAAATAATACATTAATAATAAATGAAAACAACAAGTGTTGATGAGGATGTGGAGAAATTGGGACTCTCCCGTCAGTGCTGGTAGAAATATAAAATGGTGCAGCCACTGTGGAAAATAGATGGCCATTCCTCAAAAGCCTGAACACAGATTTACTATATGATCCAGCAATTCTACTCTTATACATGCAAAAAATTGAGAATATCAAACAGAAATTTGTACCCCAATGTTCACAGCAACACTATTCACAAAAAGGTGGAAGTAGCCTTTATATATTATGTATTTTATATCTCATACAAAATGTGGTATATTCATACAATGGAATATTATTATATCATATTAAAGCGTATTTCTCCAGTCACTGAAGTGAGCATTATGGAGCTCGTGGTTGGATCAATCAACCCATATGTGATCTCCCTTACCACATTCAGATTATCCTCACTGAAAAGGGACAAATTGTTCCTAAGCCAGAAGAGGAGGCTGCACAGAAGAAAAAGATGTCCCAGAAGAAACTGAAGAAGCAAGAACTTATGGCACAGGAATAAGATAAATGCAAATAAAAAAATTATTTTAAAAAGTAGTGAGCCAGGCAAGGTGGCTCAAGTTTGTAATCCCAGCTACTTGGAAGGTGGAGTTCTAGAGGATCAGGGTTCAAGGTCAGCCCAGGCAAAATATTAGGGAAACTTCATCTCAACCAATAGCTGAGTGATGGCACACACCTGTCATCCTTGTTACAAGGGAAGCATAACTGGGCAAAAAACACGAGACCCTATCCAAAAATAAGTAACGCATAAAGGGTTGGGAGCATAGCTCAAGTGGTATAGTGCCTGTGTAACAAGCATAAGGTCCTGAGTTCAAATTCAGGATGGCCAAAAATAAATAAAAACAAATAAATAAAAGAAGTATAAGACAGGACTTGCCCATGAGGCTGCCATCTCAGAGAAATACAACATACTCTCCAACAGTTAAGACAGAGCAATGGAAAATGAAGAATCAAAATGACTATAAAATAACTAACCAGAGGGAGAAGTTAGGGTGGCCAGAGATATGAGGGAAAGAGAAAACAGGATGTAAGGCCTGAGAGATGGAATAGACTAGCCAGTAAAAGGGTAGGGCATTCTTTGAGAAAGGACAGAAGTATCTAAACTTGGTGTGTGTGCCCAGGACAAGAAAAAACCCTGTATGACAACATTTCATCTCATAAGATGTGACTGTAAATCAGTGACTCTCCTTGACTGGGGCAGAAAGCAATTATCAGACTGGGGCTGAGCTTTTCCTTTTGACTCAGAAAAAGAGGGGTAGAGTAGAGGCCAAAAAAGTGAAATTTTGCTTCCATATTGGCTTTTTTTTTTTTTTTTTTGACATTTAGGGCAGCGTTTTCGTAGAGAAATACATCTCATCCATTGGCCCAGAAGTGAGTCAGTAGGCATCCAGTACTAACAGAACTGAAGTTTTGAGGGAGTTTCAAAGGGATTTAGGTCAGATTGACCAAATATTAATGGTAGTCCACTAGGCACAATGCTTATGGTGCCCCACAAGGTACAATGCACTGTGCTAGGAGCTAGGGGAAAATCTAGACGTTCTGGACACAGTCTTAATCATCAAAGAACTCACGATCTACTTGGAGATGTACTACAGTACCTGGATAACGCAAGGCAGAACATAGTTGGTGTCATGAGAGAGGAGAGCAGCACCTCCAGGTAGAGACTGGGTATGTGACTATAAGGTCCTTTATAAATGCTATGATATAGGTGCAGGGCTCAGGATTCAACAAACATGTATTAATGTCACTGTTATATAAAATAGCATATTATGTTATTGAGGTTCCAGAAGAACTTAGACATGAAAATACAGTGGGAAGTGAGTTGGAAAAGACATCTGGGGCCTCACCACAGAGAAACTTTTTCCATCTTCAAGGCTTCTGCTCTCATGCTGATTATGTCACCTTCTATTACCACACCCACAGCCTTCTTCCCTCTATCATTATAACCAATTCCAAAGATGACACAACTACATTTAGTTGGGCTCATTATGTACTGAGGACTAATCAAAACCTTTTATGTGGATCAACTCATTTCATCTCGCAACAAAACTATGAGAAAGGTATTATCATCCATCCTCATTTTTTATGCAGAAGCACAGATAAGGGTTAAGGGTCTAGGTCACACTTCCAGAAAAGTGAAGAAGCTTGGATTCAAACTGAAGTAATCTATCTCCAAAGTCCATGCTCTCAAACATTATACTATATTCTCAGCAATACAGACATTCCATGCCTCCCACTTCTGTGAAATCACTCCAAAGACCTCGGCCTCTACTTTACCTCATCTATCTTTCCCTGACTTCCATTACCTTCAAATTAGTCTCCCTTTGAAATCCTGAACAGCCAATAGAGGACTGCCCCATTAAGTCCACAGCTTCCACACTCTCTAATTCCCACTAAACTTGGACTTAAATCACATCAAACCACTGAGTTTTTATTTACTCCCCTTCTTCTCTTATTTTCCACTTAATTACTGGGGTTGAGAAGGAAAGAAAGCAGGGGAAGGGCAGAGAATCCACAAGGGTAAAAGAATTTATCATATATTTAATTCTGGTTTTCTTCTCATGTTCGCAATAAATGCCATCAATATCCACTCTGGTTGTCCAACCAGAAACTAATTCCTCTCTCCCTCACCCTCCATTTCCAGTAGTCACCAAGTCTTATCAGTTCTTCTTACTAAGAGCTCTCAAATGTATGCTCCCTTGTCCACCCTATTGTCACTACCTTAGCTTAGCCTCTTGTCATATCTTATCCAGCTCAAGTCCCATGGCTTCCCTTCAATCCATTCTCATATTGCAGTCAGGGTTATCTCTTATTAAAAAGAATAAATATGATTAAGGGATGGCCCTGCTTAAAAATCTTTGCATAGATTTCTAGATTTCTGGAAGCTTGTTTTATAGAGTCCTTCGTGAGCCAAGTTCTGCCCACATCTCTAGTTTTATCTCATCATCCCTCTACCCTCAAATTCCATGCTCAAAACAAAGTAAGCAGTCTGTAGATTCCCAGAGGCTCCCTACCTTCTTGCTTTCAGTTCTTCCTGTCTCCCTCCAATCTTACATCTTCTCACTTTCCTACTTGCCATGATATGACTGTGTCCCCTCAAAGTTCATAGTTTGGAAATGTAATCTCCAAATTTATATTTTACTGCTATTTGGAAGAGAGTCCTTTGGGAGGTAATTAGGGTTAGATGAGGTCCTAAAGGTAAGGCCCCCCATGATAGGATTAGTGGCTTTAGAAGAGTAAGAGACCTGAGCTTGCACACTCCTACCATCTCATCATGTGACACCCTCTGCCATGTTATCATGCAATAAAAAAGCCCACTCCAGATGTGAGCACCTTGACATTTAACTTCCCACCTTCCAATAACTATGAGAAATACTTTTTCATTACAAATTACCCTGCCTATGGTATTTTGTTATGGCAACAGAAAAAAAGACTAAGACAATGCTGTATCGTAGTATTTACGTGACTTTGGCATTTAATTATTTGTGTCTACTGATCCATGTCTCCTTTTATATTCTCTTGACTATAGCGATTGGATCTTTTAACCCTATACCCACAAGTGTAGCAGAATACTCTCCCAATTTCCCTAACAGAAGTATAAAAGTTATAAATTACCAAATGTAATCCCCCAGTGCAGAAGAATTTCACAGTCTCTAGAAGACACTGTTAGTGAGCACACGTAAGTATGCACACACACACACACACACACACACACACACACACACACACACACACACCCCTGCCACATCCGGGAGATTTTCATGATCCACATTCTGAGAAAAGTTGATTTAATAGTTTACCTGACAATAGCAGATGCTCAATAAACACCTGCTGAGTGTAAGAATGACTAAGTGAAAAGGGAAGCCAGCACACTGTTCAGGTATGGGCTAGCAGAAAAAAGCATAGCTTTTAAAGTTGAATCCAGGTTCCAACTTCAGCTTCATGACTCTCTTTTCGATTCATCTTATCCAAGAATTTGCCCGCTGTCTTGCTTGATTGCGGAGACACACAGAATGAATGGCATGTAACTGCCACATAGTGAGTCACTACACACACAAAAGGTATAAAGCAAAGAAGCGTGGGGAAGACAGAAGAGATTCCACCTCTATCATTGCCAACCAGGAAGAATAGCTTCTAAATTTAGAAAGCCCTCTCACTGTTCCAAGGAGTATGATCAAGAAATGAGAATAGGTATTTCCTTAGTGGCCATGACTCTGATTTGAATTTGAACATAACATACCTCTTGGGTTTGTTTTTGGGCTACTTGAGCAAAAAGATCTTCACAAAATCTTGGAATTATTCCTGGTTCTTCACTAAATCCCATCATCCTGAAAAACATAGTATGAATAAAGAAGAAGTAAAGCAGATTAGTTTGGTGGTTTTTAAAAATTCTGTCTGGGGAAATCAGAGAGGGAGCATGGAACAAGCTAATTAAAGTTCATAGCTGATATCTAAAAATCAAGACTGGGGAGCCAAGCTGGAGGTGTGGCTCAAGCAGTAGAGTGACTACCTAGCAAGCACAAAGCACTGAGTTAACAAATCCCAGTACAGCCAAAAAACAAACAAGACTGGGGAGCCAAATCTGCCTGAATCTAGATCTTGATTCTACCAATTATTAGCTCTGTGATCTTGATTGAACACGATACTTAACCTCACAAAACACAATTCCCTCATTTGTAGAATGGGAATATTAGAAGTATCTAAATCAGAGGGTTGTTGTGAGAGAGTATAAGCAAAGGCTTTAAGTGCTGCAATATGGTAAGATCTCAATAAAAGTTAGATTCTACTAAAATCTCAAGTATTTCCTTCTAGGACCAGAGCAACCACCTATCAGATGCCTTCCTTTTGTTTTTAATATTTTTAATTTTTTAATTGGTACACTAACTGTGCATGCTTCTGGGGCATAGTGGTACATTTCCACACCTACACACAATATATAATGGAATTAGCACGTCTATCACCTCAGTTTGTGTTCGAAACATTCAAAGTCTTCTCTATTAGCTATTTGAAATATACAGTTATCCTACTGTCCTGGAAAATGTCCTATTTTTTTAAAAAATTTAAAATATTTTGTTACAATATTTTTGATAAAACCAGGTGAGGCAAAGTAAATTTAAGTGAAAACGGTCTACTTGATACCTAAGCGCCCGAAAATTTCTAGCCAGGTTTTTGCCCAGCATTTGACAACTGCTCACACAGATGAATATAGGAAAGAGATTAAGTTCCTAGGATCTACCCAACACCAGACAGAGACAAAATGCCTTACTGTTAATCCTCACAATAACACTTATAAGGTACTGCCCTGGTCTTCTGTTTATAAAAGAAATATAAATTATAGTAAAATGGAGCCAATGATACAAATTATCTCAGGTAGAAACTGAAACCCAGAGGTTTGGTTGCTCATCCAAGTTTGTAGAACTAGTATATAATAATGGATGAGACCTGAGTCCAGATCTGTGTGGTTTCAAAGCTATATCCTTTTTATCAACCATGCTGCTTCTCACAAAAGAAAATTTAAACATTCCTAGATAGTAGTATGTGTAATCCAACTTACGTATATGACTTTCCAGAGCCAGTCTGACCGTAAGCAAAGAGACAGGTGTTGTAGCCTTCGAAGGCTCTTTCTAGGAGTGGTGCTGCTAGAGTCTCATACACAGTTGTCTGGCTAGCATAGTGTGGATGGCATTCATCGAAAGACCAGAACGAAAGATCATAAATAAAAGTATAAACTTGTTTCATGTCAGGGTGTGCCACCGTTATTTCTTCCCCATTCACAAAGACCACCTGGGATGCTTTTTCAATCTTCTCTCTTTACAAGGAAGGACAAAGAAAAAGGTCAACTTATTGTGCATACTTACCCTACAGAACATAAGAATAGTAACACAGCTAAATGTATCATTCCTTCAAGGCAAGATGATTCGTTAGCTTTATGTAGAAAATTAAGAAACTCAGTTCAAGTCAGTTTCTGAAATCTATTCCCTAGAGTTTCAGTGCCACCACTCACAGGAAATGGAATTCCAAATTTCTTTTTATATTAAAAGGAAGTTTTGGGGTAGAAACCCATATGAAGGTGGCATAAAATGTAAATATAATGTCAACAAGCTAATGTAATAAGTTTAAATAATAAGCCTCTTTTGGTAACTAGCTGCCATTATTGTTAGTCCAAGGTCTCTCCTTCCAGTAGATTCTTCCCCTTAAAATCACAAATCTGCACTGGAGTCATCACCCTGAGCAAACACAAGGCCCTGAGTTCAAACCCCAGAACCACCAAAAAAGAGGAAAAACCAAAACAAAATAAAATCACAAATCTGCCAAACTCAGTGGCTCACACCTATAATCCTAGCCACTTGGGAGGCAGAAATTAGAGGATCACAGTTCAAGGCCAGCTGAGGCAAATAGTTAGTGAGACCCCATCTTAACCTATAAAAAAGGCTGGGCATTGTGAAGCACAACTGTCATCCCTGTTACATGAGAAGCATAAATAGGATGATCACATACAGTCCAGGCTGGCCTGCACATAAATGCAAGACCCACTGGAAAAACAGCTAAATCAAAAAGGCCCGGAGTAGCAGGAGTGGTAGAATGCCTGCCAAGCAAATGTAAGGCCGTGAGTTCAAACCCCAGCAATACCAAAAACTTCCACATAAACCTAAGGGCTTGGCATGGTGGTATATGCTTGTAATCCCAGCACTCAGAAGGCCGAGGCAGGAGGCTGATGAGTTCCAGGGCAGCCTGGGCTAGATAGTGCATTCAAAAGCAGTTCAAGATCCTGTCTCAAAAAAAATAAAACCCCACAAATCTTCATGTTCATCCTTCTTCTATCTCTGACTTAGGTGGAACACTTTCACTTACTCTAGATCTGCAGAAAAACACTGTCACTCCTTGTCTGGCCCCATATTTCAGCCCTTTCCCTACTACACTATCCCTTGCCCTAAGAACGTGCTTTAAATCAGAATTTGTCCTGCAAGCCATCTGCCTCATCAATTTGACAAGTGCCACTTCCCCCCAGCCCCACTTTCAGGGCTTGTCTGATGTGTGTGGAAATGAGGCATTTGGTGCTTTATTTACTAAGTTCTCTTCAATGTCCTCATCTGTCTTCCGTTCTGTCCCTACCAGCTTTGCTCACTCTACTGCCTCTCTTCCTTTTGTGGTTCCTGAAGCTTTTGTTAGGCTTCCTGACTTCTTAATCAACTCACCCTGGGATTTCTCCCCTGTCACTAATACAGATTCTCTGTCATTTTCACTAAAAAGACCTTCTAGCACTCATGAACTTGCCTTTAATCACTGACTCTGCAAGTTCAAACTGGAGGTTCCTTGCCCGAAGCAGGGGTCACCATATGTATGTACTTCTAACTTGCTTAGACACACAACAACATGTTAAAAATCACGAGCCTGTGAAGTTCTCACTGTTCTTCCTTAAAATAATCAGATTCCATATTCACATCTTATCATCTCTACCTTTTCAACCCTATCTCTAATCTGTGACTACCCCACCCAGATCGCCTTTGGGGAAAGACTGTTTGACATCAAAATCAAACACAATATATCACCACGCTCATCGCCACTGTGTGCCAAATGCTGCTGCTCTCCACTCTGGAGAGGGCTTGGGGAAGCCTCTTCCCAGAACATTAGGGACCTTTTTAAAGCTCCCGCCCATACATCACAGGTTTGAAAGCAGACTGCATTAGAGAATTAAATGACTCAGTTTTTATCTACAGGCTGGCAGAGTGACTCAAGTGGTAGAGTGCCCAGCAAGTGTGAGCCCCTGAGTTCAACCCTCAGTCCCACCAAAAAAAAAAAAAAATAGTATTTAACAATATATCTAGAGGAACATATATAAAAATACAGTGATTTCAATTTTTATAACCAATAACAAAAAATAATGTACTATAACTAAACCCAGAAGCTCTCTCTACATAAAAACATTGCATGGCTGGGGGTGTGGCTCGGCTCAGTAGCAGAGCATCTGCCTAGGATTTATGAAGCCCTGAGTTCAATCCCAGCACTGCAGAGGAAAGAGAGAGGGGGAGAGAGGGAGGCTGGGAGAGATGGAGGGGGAGGAAGAGAGGAAGGGGGAAGGGAGGGAGAACAGTGCCAACAAGTTTAAAGACACATGAACACTACACTGACTCTCAAAAGGCAGAGAAGAGTTAAAGACACTTTATTACATGGTACTGGCTTAGCCTTAGATTAAAAATATGTAACATACCTTTTGCTGAAAGGCCTTACGCGTACTGCCACAGTCACTTGACTATTCTCTATTTTTAAGAGGTCTGTTTCTATAGAGGTATTGTTCTGAACTGTGGTTTTTTCTTCAGGAGGGAGTGTATTTTCTTGTGACCTTTCCCTTTTATTTGCAAGAAGTGAACTTTTTGGTCTTTGCTTATCTTGAAGGCTGGGCATCCTGTTTTTCAGTATTGATGCAGCTGGGCTTTTAAGTTGAGGCAGGCAGTGCTTTGGTGTCAATTTGTGTTCTGTGATACATTTCACAGGGGTTCTTTTTTCTAAGTTTCCAAATTTATTTGAATTTTTTACAACGTCCTTTCCAATACTTTGATGTACACTTCCTGTTCCCCACACTTGGATATCCAACTTGCTCTGAGTAGGTTTCACTGCCAAGTGTCCTGATTTAACAACTTCCGTCTGACCCTGGGAACCAATGGGTGCTCTATTGCTTGAGTACTTTAGTGAAACATTTTCTTTGGTCCCACTGAAGACAGAAAATGATTCTTTGTATTTCTCATCACCAGTGGTTTCAATGGCATTTGACTGTTCAGCTAATCTTGCAGAAGATGCAACACAAGAGTTTTTACTGTTACTTATTCCCTTTGCATTTGGCCTAGTTTCCTGTGAAGCACAATTTTCTGCTTCACTTCCCACATTCTGCATTATTTTCCACTTTTCAACAGGATCTCTTTTAACTGCTTTGCACTTTTCTACAGAATCCATTTTAGCACGACGGCGCTGTAAGGTAAGACTTGTTTCTGCTGTTTTCTCAGTGGTGTCTCCCAACTCACTACCAAGTAAAGAGTCTTTGTTCCTTGTAGCTCTTCTCTGAAGTGTCAATCTTTCTACAGGCTTCGGGGTAAGGGGCAGATCTCCTGATTTTTTACAGGCAGAAATAACATAAGTGCTATTTATGTCTCTGATTTTACTTGTAGATCCCAACAATGGATCATCATTCTCACTTTCTGATATATTTGACTTCAAATGCAGCTTAAGTTGGCCACCATGGGTGACTGCACTTAGTGATGAACTCTTCTGGGAAGGAGGAACTTCAAAGATATCACTGTTATTTCTGTTATGAGCACTGTGCACTGACATTTTGGCAGAACGTTATTTTTAAAAGAATGTTAAGAATCTAAGCCCTTCTTTAGATGTTCATTTGATTTCCAGGCATTTCATATCAGTTTCCAAAAATATCTGGTACACTACAAAAAGAAAAATTTAGATTGCACAAACTTTACAAATAGAGCGGATCTCTGACTTTGAAAGTGAATACCCAGAGGCGACGTTAGGATAAATCACAGCTTTCATCTCAGACATCACTTCTGAGCAAGTTCTGACAAATCTCTGCCCTCAGAGCTCCCAGTCACTGTCCCATTACAGTGTTACTGTACGTTTACAGTCTGTCCCATTACAGCTCAGTTACTTACTGAGTGTCCCATTACCTGCCAGCCAGGCTCTCAGATAGATAAAACCCTTGTTCTCATTTCCTTAGTATAGAAGGACTACACAGATAACCTTTGTATCAGGGCCATTGTGCCAAGTGACTGAAGAAATGTTAAACAGAGGCCCGGGGGGCTTGTGCACTTCTGTAATCCCAGCACTGGGCTGGTCAGAGGTAGAAGGATAGAAGTTAAAGGCCAGCCTGGGCTACGAAGGGAGTTTTACTCGCTTCCAAAAAAAAAAGATTAGCAAGCAGACTAGCTGCCCTTTATCAGTGAGACAACTGGAGGGGGCTGTGTAAATAAATGCCAACAGCGTGGAGGAGGCACTAAAGTTTGAAAGGAGAGAAGAGCAGTGACAGCGGAAAGACGTCACACGATGTAAACAAGTCCTTACATTTGCATGCCCGGCTCTGCCTCGTAGTGTCACTGCCTCAAGTTACTCGGGACCTTATTGCTACTGAGGAACAAATTAATAGAAGCCCCCCCTTTTTTTACGTGAGTCTTTGAAGGTTTTACATAAACAACAGTCATCGTTCCAAAACAAAAACCGTCAGGCTATCCGCATCTCTCTTGCAGCTTGCAACTAAGTGTAGAATCCGCCTATTACAAAATGCCCTTAAAGACAAGAACAGATTCTAGAAATTTCACTCTAAAAAAAGGTTTGCTGTTCACACAAATCAGTACGGGCTGCGTGCGCGCCGAGTTTCGCCCTCAGATTTTCAAAGATCCCAACTCCAGCCTAACTTGCCGGTGGTTCCGTCAGTCCTCAGCTAGTCACAGATGGGGCGGTGACAGAGACTGTACCTCTGAACGCCAGCCGACTCGGCGACACGCGGCGGGCGCAGGCGACCCTGAAGTCCGGTTTCCCGGTGGGGACAGCGGCGCTGTCCCGCGCCCTCGCTGCGGGGACCCCTCTGTTAAGACCCGACCCGGCCCGCGTTCGGGGGACCGGAGCTAAGGCCGCCCGCCGGCGCCGCAGAGGTCGCCCGTGAAGGAAAGCACCTGCAAGCCCTCCCAGAAACGGGCGCTTCACCCTTTCGCAGCGTCCGCTCCCTCGGGACCCCCTCTGAGTCGTCCCCACGCCACTCACCAGCAGCTGCGCCAGCTCCCGGCGGTGGCCGCAATTTGAATGGGCGCCTAGCCTCCTGATTGGCTGCTGTACGTGTGCCCTGCGCCGCGCCTTCACTTCCTCCCGCCCCCCGGAAGCGCAGCTGATTGGGTTCCTGCCCTAAAGCTGAACGCAAGCCCCGCCCCGACTCGTCTCCCAGGCAACGGTTCGCGTTTGCGCTTGGGCCCTGGTAAGACCCTCCAGAAGACTAGGAACTGGGCGGGGCCGCAGCGGGCACCCCGCCAAAATGGGTTTTAAAGGAGAAGCGTGACAGTAACATTTGTAGGATCCTTAGTACAAAAGCAGCACATGCCGGGGCGCCAGTGGCTCACGCTTGTAATCCTAGCTACTCAGGAGGTAGAGCTCAGGAGGATCGAGGTTCGCAGGCAACTTGGCCAAATAGTTCACCCTATCTCAAAAATACCCATCACAAAAATGACTGGTGGCGTGGTTCAAGGTATAGGCCTTGCGTTCAAGCGCCAGTACCGAAAAAAAACAAAAACAAAAAACTATGTGCCCCCACGTTAATCATAATAAATAACACTTTTCTAGTGCTTCCCATGCAAGACATTGAGGCAGGAAATGTGCTGAATGTCTTGCATGAATTTTTTTTTTTTTTTTTTAGTGTAGCCCAGGCTGGTCTCAAACTCATGACCCTCTGCCTCATCCTCTTCGCCTCGTTGATTACCAGCGTGCGCCGCCACGGCCAGCTTGCATGAATTCTAAAAGTTTAATCCTGGAAGTCTTACGAGTTAGGTTTACAAATGCGGTAATAAACGTGTGGATCGTAAAACAAGTAGCAAGTTGTGTAACTAGAAGTCCAAAGCTGAGGCCATAAGATTTAATTCAGTTTCAATAAATGTTCCTGTAATATTTTGAAGCCTGAAAAAAAAAATAGATTCCAAAAAATAACCAGCTCAATGAGGACTCTGGCCAAATACATATTCTAAAGCAACAATATTTTGATGGCAAAAAGTGTAGATAATAGAAATATATTCAATAGGCTAGAAAAGGAAACTGAAG